AATATTTTGACCGTAATATTGCGTAAATCTTACGATATTGAAAACTCACGTAATATTTTAACCGTAATATCACATAAATCTTACGAAATTGTAAACTTACGTAATATTTTGAAATTTTTCGAAATATTATGCCATAAACTTTCGTAAACTTACAAAATCGTAAACTTACGCAATTTTTCGCGCTATAAAATTTCCTGATGTATCTACTGCTAGGAAATATAGAATCCGCTCCAATAGTTCCGGTAAATTTATAACACCTAAATGCGTCATAAATAATATATGCTGTATCTTTAATCGAAAAAATAAAATTACGCATATTGATGATCACTGCTTCGGATAATCGTTATTCTGCATTAGGTTCATATTTTACTTCTTTGAATGGGATCACAAAATTATCGTCTAATAATAGTTTTGAATTGCGTATATCTAAAGTTGCACCACTTTCTCGGAACCAAGGACCTTCCAAGATTAAATCAGGAAAATGATCTGGCCAATCTGGTCCAACAACTATGAATTCAGTGGATATGCTTTTATGCTTCTCGCTATCATTAAAGCTGATATGCAGATCAACCTTTCCTAATGTGGAATAGGATGCATCTGGAGTTTTAATGCTATTATTTTCATCATGATATGCATTTCCTAATTCACCAATATGTTTTTGGCTAATGCAATTTACATCAGTGGACGTATCAATTGATGCCTCAACAGGGATATTTCCTTTGACTATACAATTCACAATCATCATTTTTTATTATGGTATATAATATTCAAATATAAAAAATAAACCTCTATCACTGCGAACTGGCATTTATCAGGATAATATATTTGGAGGAAATGGCCTCGTATGATCAGCCAGAACATTATTATCACCATTACAGTATATCAATAAGATTAATCCATTTTTTTTTTTATCTTTGTCTGATTTCCTGACCCTTTCGAACAATTGCTAGAAGGTGGGTCATTCATGATACCATAATGTTGGACTGATTCATCTCGTCCTACTACTTGTCTGCAAGCTAATTTTCGCAAACGCTGGTGACGAGAATCATTCTTACCTCTATGGATCCTGGAAGCATGGTCTGCACCTATCTTCCTCAATTTATTCGAAGTAATTCCATGTTTAGCTAGAATAAGATTAATTGGATCAACATTAACTATACCACTTTTGTTTTTCCGTAAGAAGGTGAATTTTTCTGGTATTGCTTTCTGAATCCAGGCAAGAAACTCCTTTGCTCGTATTGGATCCTTTTCCATTGAGAGGAAAGGCCGAGGTTCTCCTACTCCTGTTTCTTCTTTAGTTTTAGAGTAGCCAGTACAATTCCAGGAATATTTAGGGTCATACCAAATTTCATCTGATGCTTCATATTTATCAATACGAAGAGTTGCCACATCTGCCGGTCGCATGCTTAACATTATCATTACATCAACCAGATCTTCCTTAGAAGGTGATAAGGAGAAATCACATTTCTCAAGTCTCTCCTGAACCGGTTCTAAGAGGAAGTGTTCAGGCCAGTCGACACCTTCATCTTCATCAAGTACAAGCCGTCGTGCCTGAATTTTATTCGCTTCTGTAGTAATATGAGGAATTTTTGTCGCTTCTTTTTTGAGATGATTAGCTCCACGATCCTGTAACTTTTTTCGCAATAAAGTAAGCCGGGATCTTCCTGCGACTGGATTAGGTGCGGAACTACCCAAATCATATGAAATTTGTTTTATTTTCTCAGACTGATAATCATTTTCCACAATTTCTTGGGCAATTTTATCAACAGTATCCCTGCCTTCTTCACGCTTTCCAGTAGGCCGAATAGGAATGAGAACTTCTACTTGTTCCTTAGTAAGCCCTAATGCCCGAAAGCGCGTTTTGGCATTGGATCTTACCTTGCAATCATCCTTTAAACTTTTGCTAATTTCCTCTGTGTATTGAGCTAGTTCGGATGATGGAGTTTCGAAGGTCCATTTATGGCGTTTCATGAAATCTGTAGCTACTTTTGCCATATTGTTTTTATGACAGTATAGTCAAGAATATTAAAACGTACTAATTTTATATTATGTACAAAAAAGTTCAATTCGAAAAATTTCCTCAGAACCATGCTTCTTCAGAAAGGGGAAATATCTGAGACGGGTATTGATAAGGTTGCTTGTCTAAACCTCTTCAAAATCCTACGATTAGTTTTGTCAAAATTTTACTATAGATTTATTATAGTTTCGGCAGAGTTTCGGCAGTTTCGGCATTTATAATAAGTTTCGGTAGTTTCGCCTTTCTCCAAAGTTTTGCCAGTTTTTTAATATAACTTTAATATAGTTTCGGCAGAATTTCGCTTTTCGGTGAAACGCCATCTTGCCTAAACCCCTAGGTTTCAGCAAGCAACCTTAGGTATTGAGAAGATTAAAGGAGCGAAAAAAAAATGATATAGCTTATGCTCTAGACCGGCATAACACATTTTTGAATATCTATAATAAAAAATGAAGATAAGTTTAACGTATATTAATCTTAAAAACTTTCCAGAAAGAAGTACTATGCCCTTTGGTCCCTTTGGTGAATACATATCTGATTCAGAGGACGAGAATTACCCAACTTGGCCTTGCCTAAATAAGAAAGATGATGGGTCTATCTGCGGGAAAAGATACTTTCGCGAGGGCGGGTGTGTCAGACACTATAAGTCTCCACCAAATAAAATGTGCGCATCCTGTAATGGGCCAATCCATTCTCGGACTGGCTTCCGTATGATGTATAAGAAAAACTGGTTAGAGAGTCGCAAAAAGAGTGAGTAGGTTTTGTAACTTTGGCCGAAGACGCAGTTACTAAGCTGACCCGCTAAAGCAAAGAAATTTTGAATATCTATAATAAATGTGAAGATGAAGTTTTAAGATTATTAATATCAAAATTACCTCGTATGGGACATTTTATCTGCCAATACATCAAGAGAGATGGTTCGATCTGTGGGAAAGAATGCATGAGTGAATTAGGATGCGCCAGACTAGAGCTCCGCACGGGTCGGGTCAGGTCGGGTAACCTGCTCTTAGGGTTGGTAAAATAACCGTTAGTTATGAATTTGGTTAATTAACCGGTTAATTAACGGTTAGTTAACGGTTAATTAACCCATAAATAACCTGTATATATAATTTTAAGGAAGTTAAAATAAATTTATAATTTATTAAATATTATAAAATTTTAATATATTTTATTTATTCTTCATCATCTAAATTAATAACATTTGCTTCAAATCCAAATATACTATCATTATCAGAACTATTATTATTATCATCTTCTTTATTTTCATTATCAGAACTATTATTACTATCTTCTTCATTTTCATTAAAATTACTACCCATTTAGCTGTATGAGATTCTTCACCAGAATAAATAGCATCAAAGAATAATGGTTTTGGAGTACAAATAACAAAATTTTGAACTGATTCTCGATTAATATTAGACCAACCATCTGAAACCATTGTAAGAGATTTAGCTTGTAAAATTTGTTCATTACATTCAGCTTTAACTTCATCAAAAACATCATCAAGTAATTCATCAGCAAGTTTTCTTCGATTAGGTAATTTGAATGCTGGACGTAATTGTTGAAAAAACTGAATAACATAATTATTTTCAAGAAAAGAAAAAGGAACTCCAGCAGCAAATAATGCTTGAGCTAGTAAAATTTCAAGAGTATCTTGTTCTTCTTCACTCATACGATCAACAAAATTCTCAATTGTTGTATTTTTTAAATGCTTTTTTGATGTTTTTACTGTAGGAATAAAAGTAGAAGTAGTAGCATCAGAAGTTTCTAATAGTTCAGGAATTTGTTGTTTCTTTGTTTTTGCACTTTCTGGAGCTCTAGGACAACTATCATTAAGATGAACTTGCATTCTTTTAGCTGTACCTTGTTCAAAAACTTTAGAACAATAATTACAACGTACAGAAGGATGTGTTTTTTTCTTAGACCTACTACTTTC